AAAAAAAAAAAAAAAAAAAAATGTACCCTCCACATGTAAACCATACAGTTGAGAACAATTCTTTTCGCGCTTGAAAAACATGAAAACCGCTGAAAGAAAGGTTAAGTGATTTCCATTTAACTATATCATTCCTAGAATTATGACTAGTAGCTTACCATAAATGCAGATATTGACAATATTATAAAAGAAAGGCAATGTCAAAAATCGCATTAAATTTATTTTTATTTTGTGTGAGTATAATTTGTTTACTGTCAATAATACAGTATTTTATGCAATTATATATTTGCTATTAAAATTTGATATTCACAATTTGAACTTATTAAAAGCATATATTTATATAAAGTACCTTTATGACCAGCCGAATATACGTAAATTTTTAATTTGGCCCATTAGGAAAAAAGGTGGGATAACCCTGGCCTAGGTGGAATGAAAAGTGTTTAAGCTTGTGAATAGCCTATAAGTATTTAATTTTCCACATCTAACAACTCGGGTTTTTTATTTCTGAACGGTTCTTTCTTAATTCTAATGAACGTATTTCAGTTGTCGACTGGATAAAACCACCGAACACTGGTAGTTACTTAGTCGTGAGTTTGGGCCTTGCCAATGTGCTGGCCACGTGGAGTTTTTCGGATTTTCTCCATGTTATGGAAAACTAGACTCTATTTAGGTATTACTAAAGTTTTTCCGGGATGTATTCCCTCGGCAGATCGCTAACGTGTCGCCAAATAAACCAAATTAATTCTAACGAGCGATTTATTGTTACATCGTCACAGTTCCTGTTGCAAGTTTTTGTCATAATTCTATCACTTTTTAAATATTAGTAATAGACCGGTATTTATCAGTAATCGTTGACTATCCTTTTTTCCGGGAGGACGTCAATGACTACTTTTACTCGAATTACTTCAACCCCCTTCGGCAACAGCCTTTTCTATCGGACGAGCAGTATGGTTGCATTCGAGTAGGAAAATTACGTAATATAAGGTTGCCCGCAAGCACAAAATGTGTTTTAAGTGATCCCGTTTGGTCCTGTTTTTCGCGAAATTTGATTGGTTGGCAGATTGATGTTTGATGTTTGGTGGTAAATGGTACATTTTCTTAGAGTTAACATTAAGAAAAAATATGTCATTTAATAAAATTTAAGATATACAGTATTTTAAATTACTGTGAATGAAATTGTGCCCCTTCATACCGTCCGAGTATCGCGATAAACATGCCAAAGATAGGCTGAAATAACCAAACTTTTAATAATCTTTACGTTTTAATGTTTCTTATATTATAGTATTTGATTTACTTAACTACAAACGTTATTTTACGTAAGGGTTCATCACGCCAAGTGCCCAATCTAACACATTTTAAAAACTTTTTAAATTGTGTAGAGTATAGGGATAGAGAGATAAAAAATTTTATATTTTTTAAAAATTGTTTTTGTCTTTGAGTCTCGTAACTAGAACGTCTAAGAATGGTAACTGACAGTAGCTTTCAGGTTCTAGATCAAATTTAATGTCAGTATTTATTTGATTTACATGTTCAAGGATTTGGTCAGCCTGTATAATGTTGTTATCATTTACAACAAAACAATCGTCAACGTAACGGTACAGTTCTATTATTCCCCTGATGTTAACATCCTCATGGTCTATATTGGACATACTTAATTAATTCTGCAAGGATTGGGCCTATTATTGAACCCATGGAGGATACCAACATATTGTCTATAGAATCTTTTTTGGCTAACAAAGTAAATATTCTCCAATACAAGAGATACCATATCTAAAATACATTGCTGACAGTTTTGGGTTTTCAGTGTTTCTAAATTCCTGTTACGTTTAATGGACGGATACGAGCGATTCGAACGGGTTGACAGATCGGACCCTTGTATTTCCTTTCCAATTGGTCGGGCCTTCCCTTCCTGAGGTGAAAATTGAGACCAATTTAGGTCGTGAGAAAGGTCTGCCCGGGATGGTTTATCTGACACCATCCTCTCGACTCTGATCGCGATTTATCGATGACTAAGACACCTACGCTCATATAAATTCTCGCTTCTTTTTTGCGTCTTAAGTTTAAACAATTCGCTTTTCATTTTCTTTTGTCTTACAATTTGTTTTTCCTCTATTCTATGAGCGACGATGTCAATGTCTGGTGTTGCCGGCTTGAAATTAACATAATTTGTTTTCTCATTGTTTTAATAATTTAATAAAATACATTTTGCCTTTGATTTCGGACTAGTTCCGAGGCCTCACTCATATAATCCTACATAAACCAAGATCATACTATAATTATTAATAATTATGCTGAAAATTTTCTATCATAATAAAAACATAAATAATCTTAATCTTATTATGTTGTTATAACAATGTGTGTGCAATTCAGTGGCGTGCCGTCATTGGAAGCGGTGGATGCACCGCTTCCCTTGTATTTTCTAAAAAATAAATACATATTAATTTTAATTATATGAAAATAATCGCACAATATTTCATTATAACCGCATTATGTATCTTATTACAAATTTCTATACTACACGTGGAAAAAAAAAATAAGATTGCTATTGTATATTCGAATATTAGTGACGGAGTGGAAGCGCTGTATTGCCAGCATCAAAAAAAGCCAGATTCGCGCATGCGCTTTACAGAACACCAACCTCACCCGGTTTAGCTGGTGGGAGCCTAGGACCTCGGGTGGATGCTACACGCTATACGTATACCGCATCCAATTCTATCCAGGACCGGTTCTGGGCTCAATCGCCTGGCCACTAGGTATTTGGCCGACCTTCGCCCGATTACGTGAATCACGAGTAGATTTATAACTTAACCCAACCGATAAGAATTTACTGGTATGTTTTTATGATAGTTCTGTATAGTTGACAGGAGTTTTAAAAAATTCATTAAAATTTTTGATATTTTTATTCCGCTCTCCGATTTTATATTACTCACATATTTCAATGTTAAACCAGTGATATTACGATTTCGTATGTTCCATCTATAAGGGGATGTAGAAAAAAAAACGTGTACAATTCTTGTATAATGTTAAAAAATTAACTGTTACTTCGACAGCGTCATTTATAACTAAATTTAATGAATGAAAGAGATGCGCGAGGTACAGAAAAAGCTCTAGAATTTATTTTCCTTAAATTTACGATTTATGTATCCGTTTGTCATAAAAATTAGTCTTTCCACTTTTTCCCGAGACTACAAATATTCGAGTACAAAGTAACTGGTTTCGACTTATTTGTACTTAAGAAGTAGTTAAATAATTAAGTGATTAGGGAATTGGAGACATAAACAAAACCCTGACGAAAGAGCCGGAATATTACTTAAACAAAAGCTTAACCGAACCATCTTTAGCCAAGTACAGTGGAGACTGATTTCTTCGTATTATTAATGTAATAAAGACAGAATTTTTTCCAGTTCAACGAGAGTGATCGAAAAGTTGTAAATTTTGGAAATTTCTGAGGACACTTGGTCCTAAAACGAATTAGAAAACAAACGACGGACGATTTATTAACTAAGTTTAACAGATTTAGATTTTTACAGCTATGGCGAGAAACGTTTAAAATCTACAACAGCCCTGTAGCGTCCTTTGAGATATACTAGTGATGCGACTAAACAGGCATTGACATTGACCGGTATCGGCACCCTCGGGATTTGGCAGCCCGCGTGCATGCATAGACTGCAGGACCGTCTCAGATCCCAATCATTAGCCACTGGTAGGGAGCTATTTGACTACGTGGATTGTTTTAAGATTTAAAAAGTAAAGAATATTTTATGTTATTTTTATGTACAGTACGTTTCTCTATAAAGCTATATTTAATTATAATTTTCTTTAAAAGTATATCCGTACAATTGAAGAATATTTTGTACCAGGTATGTACATCCACCACACATTTTATTTCACCAAGTAAGTTTTATTTTATTTTTAATTTTAGCCCTTATATCGTGGCTAGCGATTTAGAATGTAACTGTGATATTAAAAATACATTTAGAGAACTCTACGGTTTTTACTGGCTTATCGAACAAACAAATACGAATGGACCCTAGACCATCACTGATGCCCCTGGAAGTCAGCTTCTTACAGAAACACAGCTTCCCAATCGTCAAATGTCACGGCACGCCACTGATGCAATTAAAATATATTTAATCAATTTTTACTTTCCTGGCTATTTTATATAACAAAGGGAAAGTATGGCAATCGGTCAAAAATGACCGCCCCAAAATTTTTACATTTCTGTACTCGGGATTTTGAAACGTCAAGAAATGAAAAAAAAATTTGGGAGTTTTTTTCTGTATGTAAGGATGTAAGTTTGTATTTGTGTGAGGCACAGTTTTGTTCACCTACTTTGAAGCTTTCTGCGTCTTTTGTCAAAAATTTCTGAAATTTTTTTCAGGGAAATTTGTTTATTAGGGGATCTATGCTATTAAATTTTGGTGGTTAAGGTCGAGAGGGTGGAAAGATAGAGGGTTGTGTCATATTTCACTGGAGTCGGACTTAATGGAGATTTTATTCATTATTGGCATTTTTTTTTTATAAAACTCGTATTATAAAACTCAAGCTTTTTGCCATTTTATAATAATAATATGAAAAGTTATTTTTAAGTAAAATATCCTAACCGATGGTACCACCTCCATTTTAAATTAAATTTTTTTACCAGGAAAGTTATGCAACTCATTGCTGGGATTTTGTGAATGACATAAGAAATTTATATAAAGATGTTCATCAATATTATACGAGTTTTGTATTTAACACAATAAAAATTAAAATATTGAAAAAAAAAGAATTCAAAAGAATAATATTATTTAACATTTGGATCTAATATTGCAAAATTATTATTTTTTAAAAAATTTTTACATCAATATTATCAAAACATTAATATTTTTACTGTACAAATTGCACTTTATTGAACTTAAGATATCACCTCCATAGTAATGGTTCTTTTGAAGGTATCAAACCTTTCTCCATAGATATAATATTAGTATGAGATAAAAATTTCCTCGGTCTACAGAAAAATCTTTGAAGACGACATAAATAAATAGTAATGGCAGTAAAAACAATAATGATGCAACCGTAAAATAAAAACTGATAAAAAGCATTAACCTTCCAAATGCTTAAACTGTTCTGACCAACTGTTTTATGCAATGCCCTAAAATAAAAAAATAAAAAAATTAAATTTCTTGTAGTTTAAATAAGGATTTCAAATTTTTAATTCTTAAAATTATTCATTTTACAAATATGAAATATTTACCTAAGAGGAAAATATCGAGTGCGATAGAGAACTGCTCCCAGACTCCACTGTACGTGCTGCCCTTGGACGAGGGCTGCACTTCTCAGGCCCTTATAATCTACGGGTAATTTCAATCCTTCATGAAGAACGACGCTCATCCATGCAGATTTAAAACATTGATATTTCAATCTCTTTTTGTCTGCGAGCGGATAAACGCGGCGTTGAAATCGGTCCTGTAAAACCGACCAGCGAGTGGCACAATAATCCTAAATAATCCAATTAGTATATATCAATGAATTATTAGATTACAGTATTAATAAAATATATAATAAACAAAAACATACTCTAGCAGATTTCTGAAACTTTTTATAATTGTATATTCCTCCGATTCTTAATACGTCCTCCATCGTGTACCAAAACTCAGAAAATCCATAAAAATCTTTTTTGGAAAAATTTAATCCTAAATGAGGTATTCCACTATTACAAGGCATCCCTTCACAAGTATAATTGAGATAAGAAATTAATCTTTTATAGCATTCGTTAAAATTTCCAGTTCCCTTAAATAAAACTGAAGAAATATTTTGATTAGGAATACTTATAGTATTTTTATCATTAAAATCGGTGGTTTCTTTAGACAGACAGGGATCTAAGATTACTAATGGTGCGGTTTTATTTCTGTAAAATAAATTTATGAAAAATTGAATTAATATAATCAGTTTGCTAGGTTTAACATTAAATTTTTTTTCAACTTACAACTAGTTCATTCATTTTGTTTACGCAATTAAAAATAACATATGAGGTCACAGGCGAAAGGTTCTTTTCAGCCTGGATTTTATTTTTGAGAAAAGGCAATAGCCAGGAAGCCAGATATGGTTAATAAAAACATCAGGGTATACTTTACAATTTAAGTATTTTCCATAATAAAAATAGAGCCAACATTCTGGATCTTAAGATAAGCAACGAAATTTCTTAAAACTTTTTTTTTCTGACATTCAAACATCTAAACTTTGAAAACTTGAACATCACATCATATGACAATGTGTGATATTTTTTGCTTTTTACAATCTCATATTTTTTACAAAAATGTCAGAAATTCCAAAATAAATTGTAACAGTTTTTTTTTTATAATTTTCAAATATATGTTCTACTTCTTAATGAATACAGAACTATTGACCTTGTGTAGAATAGTAAACATTAACTTCATTTTTATTCTTGACAAGACTAGTATAGTAGAAAAGTATATATTATTGTCAAGCAAAATCCACCTGTTTTTCACAATTCTAGTTATTAGTCTTCTGTTTGCAATAAACCAAATACTTTTGCTTTTCAAACTAAGTTTCTCAGATATTACTTGAGATATCTAATATCAAGTTTTTTGAATCATACCTTATTTTTTCTTTAAAACTGTCATCAGTATTTACTGTGTGGGGACAGTCATCACCTTTGCACTTTCTCTGCACATCAAAAATTGTTTGTGCCATTCAAAAATCACATGCATATGACATGCATACTCAGCCCAAGTTTCAAACAACTAAATAGTTCCTGTCATAGGTTTCTTCAGTTTAACAAAAAAACTTGGTATTAATTCATAATCCACTTTAGCAACCTGACATTTTCTTAAAGTATAGATGTGTTCTTATATATATTAACTCATTCACTTGTACTGAGTGAAACCAAATTTTGTCATTCTATAATAAATTAGAACATTAGTTCAACAATTGACTGTTTGTCTCTACTTCTCCCACTCTATTTTTAAGTTATAAAGTTTGTTTTATTTTTTCTTTTTAGTGTCAACCTCGTATAAAAAGAAATCTTTGATAGTAAATAAGGATTAAAAACATATAATATATAATTTTTCAAAACAAAAATATCAACTTTCTATACATGACTTAAAATACATTACTTGATTCAATAAAATTTTAAAATACTAACAAAGACAACAGATTTTTTTAAAAAGTTAAGAAACAAAATTTTAATATAAAATCAGTATGATCAGTAAAAACTATGATTTAATAAATAACTTTCATCTTGAAAAACTTTTAAAAAGACTGATTAGAAAAACATTTGTTACATCAAATTTTTATTCTGATCAAGTCCTGTATATAAAATGATTAGATAACAAAGTTAGGGACACTGTGCAACTTTGTCATATCATGATAGAATTGAGACGGAGAATTGAATTTTTGTAATTAAAAACTTTTTAATTACAAAAACTTGTAATTAAAAACTTTTTAATTACAGTAGTATTAGTACATATAAATTATATTTTGCTCCATCTAACCTGAGAATGCACACATTTGAAAGTTGAATGTAATGATTTTGAGGTTTTTAGTTGGCACACTGCTTTATTGTAACAAAATTAAATATTCCTAGTTTTTTAACTTAATATATTCTCAATAACAAGTTAATTTTTATCTTAAGGATGATGTTTTATTTACATATTAACTAGCAGGTAAGCCTGGCATTACCCAGGCAAAAAAGTACAAACATTAAGATTATTAGAAGGGTTTTAACAAAATAATCTATTATATAAATCAAATACTATAATATAACTAAATATGTTATCTTACATTATCTTAAGGGTTTATCACACCAAGTCACTAATCTAAGATAACCTTTGTAGTTATATAAATCAAATACTATAATATTATGAACATTTAAAACAAAAACAATATAAAAAGTTTGGTTATTTTAGCCTACCATTGTCACGTTAATCGCGATACTCGGAAGGTACAAAATTTCACAATCGGATTTGTCAAGTAGAATTGGAAGTATCTGTTAAAAAATTTCAGATATCATATTCTTTTCTAATGTTACCTCTAAGAATTTCATTACTAAAATTGCATAGTTGCAAAATAATTCATTTTTATTCTTGGGCTACAAACAGCTCAAATCGGCAACTTTTGCACTTTCAGATCTGGCAACATTATTCATGCTGTTCGTTACTTTCTTTGAAAATGCCTTTCGTTATGGAACCCCTTTCAGAGAGCTCCGATGTTATTCCGTCAGAAATTTTTGAAAATTTAACGAGCTACTTATTTTATAAATATTTTCCCACTGAAGATGCAGCTCAGAAATTTTGCCATCTGGTGGGAATGGTTCCGCATCCAGATTTAACAAATTTCATTCCGCCTTGTCCTCGTTGCGGAGGTAAGTTTTACTTTATTTCTGCCTGTGCCAGGAGTGCCTTACGCGGATATCGGTATGTTAGCTAATTCAATTTGTCGTATTTTTCAGGCGCGATGGAGAAAAAAGAAGATTCATCAGAGAAGTTCGGGTATATCTACCGCTGTGAGAAAATAAATCAAAGAGAAAAAAAGAGAAGACGAACTGGAGGCTTTATCTGGAGAGCCAAGTGCACCGGCGCGATCTCTTGTGCCCAAAATACATTTTTTGAAGGAGCTAAGCTCTCAGCTCAAAAGGTATAACATCGTGGCATTTGGCATTATATTTTCGGTAGCCATATTTTTTCTTTGTTCTCGTCTTTCTGGAATTTTCCTGTTTAATCCTACCCTTGGGAGTTGATGACTCACATCTAAGACAATAGAAACTAAGTAACTGCCCTAAGGGGTTAACAGGGTAAGGGAAGGACCACCCACAGAATCGGCGGTTTCACGTTACGTGTTTCTGTAATTCGTACCGCTTAAGATGATGTATGTTTTATGAGATAATTTTTTTTATTTTTGTATTTAACAGGTGCTGATGATTATTTACTCGTGGGTCAAGGATGAGCCGGTCACCCTCGCCGCGAGAGAATGCGGCGTGGCCAAGCATACAGCGGTGGACTGGTACAACTTCTGCCGGGAAATTGCGGAGGTTATCGTCTCTAACGATCAAAAACAGATTGGCGGTGAAAATCTACGCGTCGAGGTGACGATCGATCCAAGTTTCTAACTTCGTCGATATATCTATGTCTATGCCCTCTATATCTATATACATGTGTTTTTATTTTTAGGTTGATGAAACTTTTACCAGGAGACGAAAGTACAACCGTGGGCGCATAACCAAAGGCACCCAACTAACTATTTTTGGTGCCTATTGTCGGGAAACGCGAGAGATGATGTACTGGCATGTAAGTAGTAACGAAACATTATTTCCTATTATTATTTACTTTTAGTGGAAGTGTTGTGTTATATTTTCTCGTATTCTTTCAGGTGGAGAACAAAAGCAGACGCGTTCTATGGAGCCACATGTCCAGATACATCGCTCCAGGATCCATAATCGTTTCCGACAGCGCGCCGCAATATCGCGGTTGTACGACGATGGGCTTCTCGGAACACAAGACCGTTAATCACAGCCAGCAGGGCCCCGGGAGGTAAATACGATGAAACGAAACTGCTGTGTGTTAAGTGGAAGAAATGAACGAGTGTTTTTGAAAAGGGTATGAAAAGTGACATTTTTCTTTTTTTCTCTGTGCAGATTCGTCAACAGCGATGATCCCGAGGCTCATACTCAAAACATCGAGGGTAGACATCGCTGGCTGAAGAAGTCCATAAAGTCCCTCCGCACGGACAGGAGCCTGCAAAGTTACACCTGCACCTATGTGTACAGGACGCGGTTTCTGTCCCAGTTGCCAACGGAATCGGCAAAATACCGGCAGTTCATCGAACATATTGTGGCCGTCTACCCGGGTCCCGGTCGTGAAGGTCTCCAACTGAAGACGATCGGTGTACCCGTGGACGAAGATCAGCCGCCAGACGAGCCCTATTTTGATGTGTACCTGCCCGATGAAGAGGATCCGCAAGGAGATGACGACCCCCCCGTGAGTAGTGCAGCTTTTGTATAGTGGACGTGACCAAAGGATAGTTCCTAGCAGATGTGAAAACCTGGATTATGTGATTTTTCAGACCTCGGACTCAACGAACACCTTTGTCGTCGACCCGAAGGACCAAGCGGAGGCAGGGACCAGCGGCCTCAGCGAAGCCTAGATGTCGCCAAATAGCGAGAGGACAGGGCCGAGGACAGCGCCTCCTCTTGCGGGAAACGCAGAGGAGGCGCTGTGAATGTGAGTATCTGTTTTTTTTTTTTTTTACGTTAAGCTTAGTTCACACTAACAAGTAAGCTCGATTCGCTGGCGAAGGCGAAAACCGAAAATCATAGCGAATAACACTTCAGACATAACGTCGTTTCCAGCGAATTTCGAGAATCGCTTCGAAGTTCGGAACTGATCCCCGAAAGGAGAAATGATGATTTTTCCTAATGAAAAAAAAAAAATGTCGAGCTGGTTAACGACGAAATATCGGAAGCGGCCATTTTGTTTTTCGAGACGACGTTTTCGCTCGCTTGCAAATGATCGGCTGCTTAAAATTCGCAATTGCTTTTCGTTTTTGGTTGTATGGGCCAATTTCGCTAAGTGAATAAAAATCGCTTTTCGCATTGGCTTTCGATATTCGCTCAGTGTGAACTAAGCTTTAAGCGGGAAATGATTAGAGAGTTTAGAAGCGGTTGCGGTTCCTATCGCTCGCGAGTTTTAACAGAGCGACGTGATGGGACGTAATACTTCTGCTTCGGCGGGCGTAACGAATTCATAAAAATTCGAATTGTCGGGGTTAATTAACTAACTAAAAATTATTTTTCGTTTATTTATATAATATGTCGTATAACGTTAAACGTTAAATTACTTAGCCTTTCTAACGGAAAAAAAAATAAAATTACGTATTATTTCGGTTAAAGTTAGGCAGCCTAAAGTTATTTATTAATAATAATCGACGTTACTGAAATATTAATATAGACATAAAATTGATTTTCGAAAACAACGAATAAATTATTGCTAAGTAATCTTTATAACTGAAACTGAAAATCGTATCAATATTTTATTTTATTTTATAATTATTAATGATCGAAGATTTAGAAATCGTTTAATTATATTAGCTTTGTGTGTTAACGATGACTCGGTGAGATTTTACACTGAGCGGGAGCGACTATTGCCCTTTATCCTTTACTCGGATAGAGTCGATTAAGCCTAAGTGGTATTAAAGGTGGTCGCTCTCGCCCGTTTACCTCGCTTTTGTTTCAAAGAATAATTGGTAAGGAGGGGGTTGGAACCCCCAAATTATAGACATCAAACTGTCGATTCGGGGAGAGGGATTTCATCCCCCAACCGGTAGACCCCCCTTTGCGATCAAAAAATGTCTAATGAACCTCACACTATGGAAGCGGAGTCACGTGACCGGAAATGACGTACATATAGTCGCGGGCGTACCTAGTCGTGTATGCTACGCGAGTTAGCGACGCGCGGCGCGATCTCGCGCGGCTCGATTTTGGGGGGGCTATATCTCGTGAAGGGTCGCCCGTAGGGGGGGTGTTCATTAGACATTAATTGATCGCAAAGGGGGGGTCTACCGGTTGGGGGGGTTACCCCCCCTCCACACGTGAGCGGTACTTGTACCC